AAGTGGGTTCCTACATGAGTATAATCTCGGCGGACAGGGCAGTGGCAAGACTCTCACGGACACCCGCACCCTAATGTATCCCAGACCCTTGAAACAAATGACCCAAATATTCAGTGAATCAAGGCATTTGGCTGACAGTGCACTGCAGATGTAGTGTTACTTACACAGAGGTTATTATCATCGCAGCCTCCAACAAAGCCCATAAGCAGCACAGTTACACCGGTTAACGTCATGTATTTGTGCTGAGCAGATTTGTCTGCTTGAAGAGAAGATTGTTTTCCTGTTGAGAGGGAAAGAAAGACAGGAGTGACACAGAATATTTATCTGACTGTCACTCTCAGTTTCAGGGCTTTGTGTAAGATTAGTGTGTGTTTGTTCTTCTTAACGGCTTCATTGACTTCACATTGATTCAGTGATGCTGATTTTTTAAAGCACCAATGAGGACTTTGCAGCCGTGCATGACAAGACAGAACCCTGAAGGAATGTTGGTTTGAAGTTGCTCTTGCAGAATTAACATTCATATAATACATTGATTACCCAAGAATTACTGTGAATTGAATATGTCAGTTGCAGAGCGTACTATTCTGCATCGCTATTAACCAGGGTCAAGGAATCATCAGCTATTTAACTCCTGTCATTAGGCGTGCATTAATTAAAGCCTGGAAAAGAATCTCATGTAAACACTCACTGATGCTACGAATCTGCAGACTGACTCAACTCGAGCTTCTTGCGATGTCCACGGCGCTCACCTCTCCCAAACTAATGGCCAAGTGAGAGACTGTCAGATCCTGAATGAGCTGGCCCTAAACCAGCTGCAACAAAGCACCGCAGGGTCGCCCGAGCCGGTGGGGGGAGGAGGTCTCCAAGCAACAGCCAGCGGTGGCATGCACATTCAGCTATTGACTTAGCCTTTATCCACAGCCCTTGTGTGGTTGTCAGATCCCCTACAGCAATCTCACTGCTGAGCGAGGACCTCTGCCATGCCTGCTCATCTCTATCTTTCCATCATGTCTAAGTTATTATCACTGCTACAAACTCATCAGCCTCCAAAGGAAGTGAGCATCTACTTCTATTGGAGATGTTTGGAAATGGAATAGTCGGCCGTTTCTTTCACTGCCATGTCAGGGAAGCTTTTGAATAGTAGCGGTAATGGAAGTGTTACCTTGAGGTGTGTGTAGCACAGAAGTGTAAGCGCAGAGGGGAGATTGCCTAGAGCAAGAAAAATAAGCTGTCTGTGTGGTTCTGTCAACAGCAGGAAATGTAGAAAGTAATATTTGGAGAGTGGGAGAGGGATTGCAACAAGTTCAGTTGATATTTCTATCAGTCAGGATCACACTGCCTAATTACAAGCCAAACAAGACTATCTTGAAATGAACTAGTCCGTACAAGATGTCGTCCAACCACATCTGAAATGTTTATAGCTGCTCAGCCACACTCGAAGACGGGGTGAAAAGTCGGCCATCAAAGACTAGAGAGAGTTAGAGACACAATACTCACTCAGATATGGGGATGAAGGTGCAAACTTTTAGATAATACTTCTTTGAATGCATTCATAGTTTTTCACTCGCTTGGATTCAAAAAGTGCCTGAAGTAATTTTGAGAGGCTTTAGAGAGAAGTTTAACCCCTGTCTACTTTCTCATGTCCACACACCTGGTCGATCAGTGCCTGCAGTGGACGTGCTTCTCGGATTGAAGCATGCTTACCCAGCCTTAAAGTCTCTGACATACTTTCTACATTGAACATCTGCAGTCACCTGCATTTACCTTGCACACAGTTCCAGTACAACTGAGGGTTTGTGTCGGGCCCCAGCAGTAAATGGGAGGGCTGGAGGTGAACTTACCGTCCTCCTATTGCAAACATCAGGTGAATGTGAAACTAAAGCCCCTTTGCCACTGGACAAAAAAGCCCACTAACACCCACTAACATCTGACTTTTGTATTTAATGGAAAAGGTTACAATCGGCATTCACTCCCAAGACAAATGACCCTGCAGTAGTCAGGGGTATTTATCATCTCTGATCGGCAGTAATGGAAATACAGCACGCAGATGGGCGCACTAATTTTAGCCCCTTTGCCCGCACAATGTATTGACGGCCCGCTACAAAATACCATCTATCTCTGTCCAAGCAGCACTCAAGCATGGCCCAAATTTAGTCAGCGCCAAGAGAGAGAGAGAGAGAGAGAGAGACTTAATACGCAACAGATATATAAAAAAGACGCAACCACCATAACAATTTTACTGGCCTCCATGCTGCTTTCTACTGTTTACTAACCTGTTTTTACCTGGTTTACTGGAAATGGGGAAGCAGTGTATCCCCTATTATTTCCTGCATTTAAAAACCTGCATAAAGGCGCTAATTTCGATGGAAAGTGTATACGAAGACTCTTCTGGGTTTGCAGTGAATTTGTGGAACAAGGGATTGTATTTTGTGATTGGAGCATGCACAATTGGCAGGTGTCCTATGCGTACAGTCTGAGCTGTCATTAAAAAATGGGCTGTATTTGGATGTCTTAATGGTTTATGCAAGTCTTAGCCTACTTAGGGCAACAAAAAAGTTTATCTTGGGTGCGTCGGTACAATGGACAACTAAGAAAGGACGGCAGAGGAGATACCTGCACACTAATGTGACGGGGCTGGACAGCCACAAAAAAGGTTCACAGGCTGAGATCAATGCAAAAAAATTTGACCATCATCAGTCCTTGACTGTCGTTAGCTCTGAAGATAGTCAAGGACTGAAATGTTTGCTGCTGTTTCTATTCACTTTTTGTTATTTTATGTACTTTGAGCACCTTCTTTTTGTGCACAGATGTTCTAAATGAATTGATCTCAGCCTGTGAACCTTTTTTGTGGCTGTCCAGCCCCGTCACATTAGTGTGCAGGTATCTCCTCTGCCATCCCCTCTCGGTTGTCCATAGTTTGCACAACCACGGGGTCACAAGGGTTTATAAATTCACCTTAAGGCTGCATTCTCTGAGCAGACAATCAGACTGCAACTGTTCGGAGCTGTGTTAGAGTTAAATGTTCTTTTTATTTAGATGTGGGTGTTAGTAATTCCATAAAAAGCAGTCCCATCTATGGCTCTTTGAAGGGCAGCAGATCTAAAGAGAGTCATTTGCATTCATCTGCAGAAGGACAGTAAACACTAATAATAATACAATTGGGCAGATTAATCCGTTAGTCAAAGAACTCCTGTGGCTATTTGAAATAGAATTTCTTCAGTCAAGGACAGCCCTTCAAGTAGGTCATTTATTGAACAGACTTTTATTTTGGCAACCTGACATCTTGTGTCAAAACCCATCCGATTCCAGCTGAGGCATGATGGAAATATTGAATCCCTCTGCTCTAATTGAACTCCTGTTAAATAACACAACAGAAGAATGTAGCAGCAGCTGTATATGACCACCAGATCGCACTGCGGTTCGCCCGCACTTTATGTTGTTATGACAGGCTTTCCAAGCACAAGTTACTGCTGGCTATCAGATGTCAACATCTGTCTCTGTGTGCTTATAAATCCTTGTATTTTTAGGTCATTTCCTGTAGTTGGTTCAGATAGTGCTCTCTGTCCAACAGAAATGCAACACAGTTTGTTTGGAGGAGAAACAAAACCTGGTCATATGATCAAATGGAGGTAGCATCATTTGTGTCTGCCAAAACAAAGGAAACTAATATTGTTAGTACTCCCTGACATGCTTAATGTGGACACATTTTAACACCATATTTTACAGCTTTGCACAGCGAGCACCCTCCATGTGTTTGGAAGTTATCAATTACTGCAATAGGAATTTAAGTATTAGGTTTACAAAGACAAATATCCAGTGTGTGTCCCAGTCTTGTGCACTGACAATGCCCAGCATGGTCCTTTTACATTCTTTGCTTTTGTTATTTTATTTTCACTCTTACAATAAAAGATTGCCTTTGTGCCTGAAACAACACAAGTCCAGATTGGCGACGTCCTTATCGACAGTGTATTTTGAAGTAATTCCCCAGAGACGAAGTAATCATAATTAGCTAATTAAAGAAGGCTTAAGAGAGGGGCAGTGTGAAAGAGTGGCAAAGTAGATTAGTGGAAATTTGCATGTGTTGATACTGAAGGAGGAAGGAAATGTCTAATGTCTTATTTCTATTTATGGGGAGTGATCTGTTTTTCAAGAGCACGCTTGGAGCCAGATGCTGCTTTTAACTGTTTGCTGTTGTTTGAGGTTATTAAACAGGAAATCTCTGTCTGAGATTATTGGTTTATGTCTGAATAAAATGGAACAGTAATATTACAGCCTTGAGTGAAAGCAAACCCTGTGTGGGTCGGGCGTACACACATTTGTAAGCACATCTGCCAGCAAGCTAAGGGTTTGCGTTAAACACCATCCCTGGTAATTACATGAAATAGGAGGGATTGTTCATTGTCCCGGGCTTTGTGATCTGGACATTGTCCCGGTCTCTTCCTGGCTCTGTGCCAGCTCAGGGTCTTACCACAAACAACAGTGGGGGAGGGAGCCCTTAATATGGAAATGGCATTAATTACTGAGCCTATACAACAGATGTGACCTTCAGCCTCCACTTCAGCATAAATACTCATCTCATGAATGAAAACCGGCTCAAATATGAAATCATTTTGCAGTGTTTATCCTGTAAACATCTCTTTCTTATTGTTTCTTACACTCTTTACTTTAACTGAACACTGTAAGATGTTTCAACTGGTTCACTGGTGTGTTTGCTTCAGTAGCTTCACTCCCAGCAGCAGGTAATCTTGTCTTCTAATCAGAATTTTCAGAGATAATCTAAATCCTACTAAAATAGCCTTGAACTGAAAACTCTCAAACCTCCACGGCCTCGGCACTCCTCAAATCTCCATCATTAACTTGTCAGAAACCAGCATTTACCGTCTGAGCTGCTCTTTCCCCCAAATCTCTGTCAGTCCGCTGGCAGTTTGAACACCAGGCTGTCGAGTCCAGTGCACCGCGCTGATTAACATATTAACACGTCTTTTGTTTCAATTTTCTAGCGCTGGCCCCAAAGGAGACAACATCTACGAGTGGAGGTCGACCATCCTGGGCCCCCCGGGCTCCGTGTATGAGGGAGGCGTCTTCTTCCTGGACATCGCCTTCACGCCAGACTACCCATTCAAACCCCCCAAGGTCAGCAGCCTGCAGACATAACTGTTAAAGTGTTTGGGTGTTTGAGTAGCTGACCAAGTGTCAACTTCCTGCACAGGATCTGGGGAGATGTGGAGAATATATGTGGGTCATGTAAAGATCTGGGAAAGTCAAGAGATTGTGATAAACACACTGTATGACTACACATTTTCCTCTATTGCAGACAGACACTAATATTTTATATTTTTTGCGCCAAAAAATACCAGTGCCTTTAAAGTGGTAACGATACCAATAGAGTGGTTCATTTGATATCTTTTTTTTTCCTACTTCATTTGAAAGTAGGGATGGGTGTGAGCACTGGATTTGGACGTCAGAATTTATTCAACGTACAGAGTAATCGCCGCCCAACCTCCCTCATGTGAACATGACTTTCACTGTAGAGCTGTATGCAGTGTATTGATTCACTCAGACACTCCTCCTCTCTCTCTGTTTATCATGAAACTACTGCTGTGGAGGTGTGAGCTTCGGGTTGGGATGGTCTGTGAGAGTTGGCCCTCCTTCACATGAAAGCCCTTTTTAAATAGGCATTGTGCAAATTTGCAGGAAAGTCTAATCAGTCTTCTTTCAGCATTGGCATTATAAAAACAAAATCGGGGAGTGCAGCAAAATGCCACCTACCTACTTTTGTTTATACATAATGCGCCTTTTTTTTTTTTAGGGGCAATGGGGGGCGTGAGCAAGTAACAAAACGTGTAGCTCAGCGTGTGACGTAAACAGTGACGTACTCCAAGGGAAGCCGCAGCTGATCAGTCCTTGGGCGATTCTCTCATAAGTCAGCCCGTCCTTCACCGTTCCCGGTTCGTTTGCAAGGACAAGGAGGGCGTGCACTCCCTTGTCTCCCCAGTTGCTCATCTTTACAGTGTCAGGTTTGTGTTTCCCTCTTGCTACTAGCTGCTCATTCCTGCTTTCAGCTGTTTCCTGTTAGTCTACCAACAGTGGGTCGCACGTGCGGCGTCATCAACAGCTCCTCCCACAAGTCATCAACAGCCCCTCCCATTGCGGAAGGCCGCCTTGCTCTTTTTAAACCAAAAATGTTCCGCCAATATGTCTACCCTACAAGGCGGAAAATCGGGCACCTCAGATCAACTCGCCAATCCGGCTCTGTGCATCTAAACGCTCGCAGCTTGCCGGCAAAACGGCCCAACATTCACTGAAAATCTGGCAGTGTAAAAGGGGCTAAAGTCGAGCTGTGCAGCTGTTGGTGTGACTTTGTTAAACAGCTCCGTGTCAGATGTTTGCCGCTGCCACTGGGTTCGCTCATGCTAACCAGACAGACATTAAACTGAACAGGAGGAGAGCAGCTCTGAAGACAATCCTTCAGTGCTACGTCTGACCTGTAAAAGGGCAGCAACAAAAAGTTTTAACTTTGAATTCATGGTTTAATAGGCTAATTGTAGCCTGGTTGTTCAATGAATTCATTTCAGATTGCACTTGTTTTCTGTTGTTGGGTCAATTTACACTCCTTAAGTATTTGAGTACTCTGTTATAATTTAATGCGAATACTTGAATATAGAAGTTAATTAAAATGCCCATCCTCATTTGATACCCATCATATTAATGACAAATTGTGAAACCTAGCACACAAACCTGCCTCTTTGAACCTGCCTTATACAATTTCCATTTAAAAAAAATCCAAGCTAAGTTTTAACACACAAAAGATGAGTAGCGTAGTAACCATTTATCATACCCGAGGTAATCAGCAGTTTCCTTTGGAATCCATCTCGGCGTGCTGACCTGCCAACTCCGTCAATAGCAACCCGACTTCACCACACCACAGACTGTGTGGGCTGTAGCTGCTGCAATAGTGGGTCAATCACATGTCACATTAAATCTAAGAGTGCTTTCGGTGACTGGCTGCAAGTAAAACTAAACAAATAGCAATTTTTTTCTAGATCTGGGTATGAAACGGATTAAATACAGGTATGGTATCACTGGAGAAATGTAGATATTACTTGCTACTAGGCTGTTTCAGACGATAACTTAAAGGTATAAAGTACATATAAGATACATGCAGCCATGCAGACACAGAGAAACATTAGTATTTACTTGGAGTCGCGTCTCTGGCCACCTGATTAAATATTCCAATGCTTTAACTTTGATTTTGGTTCTTTTATATTAAAAAAATATTAATAATTGTTTTGAGGAGGTGATGCTGAAAGTACAAAATGGCACATATTCCCCTGATATGCACAGACTGTTTGCTTTCCCATGAACGTTAGTGTTATCAGAAAGGACTCATTATCTCACATTATACGAGGCATGGTTTGTCACGGTTTGTAGAGCAGCCCTGTGACAGACTGGCAACCTTTGTTGCTTGTAAAATCATACTTGGCCAGAAATACTGAGGGTACCCAGAGGCTCTCTGCACTCTCAGATTGTGTACTTTAGCAGAGAGACGCACTCAACTGTGTCTTGACTTCACTAGAAAGCTGCTTAAGTCCACCTTCAGTGACTGGCTACCCCCCTCAGGGAGGAGCTCACAGGTCATCAGACAAGAACTCAAACAAACTGACCATCCTGAGATGTGGAACAAAGAGTTACAGATCAACAATCGCTTTCATGTGCAGGCTCCTACATGACAGCAGATTTAAGATCACTGATTTGTGATAAGAGCTATTAGGTTTAGCTTAGATAATTGTAAAAAAAAAAAAAAGATTTACACACTCGTCCACAAACCATGAACATGATTAAGTTTTGTTCCAGGCATCTCTGGGTCTCAATGTACCATGTGCATATGCGATAGTGCAAGTCAATTCTCAGCTCTAAATGCACCGGTTCATGCATTTGCTCAGGGTTGCCAAATTTCGTGTATTGACTGTAAGGCTCACGCACTCAACACTTTTCACACACACACCACACGTTAATTTTCTCATGTGGTGAAAAACAAATTCATTACTGATAACGTTTTGGCGGGAAAAGGGGACACCGACAGTGCACAGATAGACGAGACAGAGCCATAAAACACTGCGTTCAAGTGAACCATCATTTGTAAAAAACCTTGTCAAGCCAGCCGCTGCTTGGATTTTGATGCACGTTTATTTGTGCTGTTGTGGAAAGGGTGCCTGGAGTAGCCAAAAAAGGCAAAGTAAGACTCGACTTTCAGGAAGTGTTTCTCACATTTCATGTTTTAAATGAAACTGAGACAGACAACAGATGGCAGCAATAGACTTCTGGGAACGTTAGCTCAGTTTACATTACAACATTTATAATTTTCTCATAATTTAACTGTACTGTCCTGAGTAGGTTTCCTGAAATTATCAATGGAGTCATCAGCCCTTTTTATATAGGAATTGTGCAAATTTGCAGAAAAGCCCAATCAGTCTTTTTCAGCATTGGCAGTATAAAAACATATTCGGGGAGTGCAGCAAAATGACGCCTGCCTACTTTTGTTTATACAGAATGTGCCTTTTTCGGGGCAATGGGGGGGCGTGAGCAAGTAACAAAACGTGTAGCTCAGCGTGTGACGTAAACAGTTCCGTGGGAGGGAAGCCACTGGTCAGTCCTTCGATGATGGCCTCTTCGTTTGCGAAGACAAGGAGGGCGCGCAATTCCTTGTCTCCTCAGTTGCTCATCTTTACAGTGTCTGTCAGGTTTGTGTTTCCCTCTTGCTACTAGCTGCTCGCTAATTCCTGCTATCAGCTGTTTCCTGTTAATCCACCGCCAGTGGCTCGCACGTGCGGCGTCATCAGCAGCTCCTCCCACAAGTCTTCAACAGCCCCTCCCGTGGCGGAAGGCCGCCTCGGTCTGTTTAAACTAAAATGGTTCCACCAATATGTCTACCCTACGAGGTGGAAAATTGAGCACCTCGGATCAACTCGCCAATCCGGCTCTGTGTGTCTAAACGCTTGCAGCTTCCCGGCAAAACGGCCCAACATTCGTGGAAAATCTGGCAGTGTAAAAGGGGCTGTCTTCACAATGACCCAACATGACAAGTGAAATCTGAATTAAATGTATTAACTAAATTGAAAAGTTGGCAGTTCAGCCATGGTGGAGATGCCGAGAAAGGACAGATACACCAGATGTTGCAGTTAGTTTGAAGAAAGGTATTTGTCTCATCCAGCTGTCTCAGATGCAGGTGCGTTATCACTTCATCCTTGTGGAGGAGTGTTACTAATAAATTGTGAAGCCGAGCAGAAGCAGTGTGCGGGAATTTCTGTTCAAAGACCACATGGTGCAGTTAAAACATTTCTTGGTGCAGATAGAAGAAATTGGTGCATGTAATTTTGCACCAGTGTGTGTACACAGAAAAGTATTCCTAGCCCTGCATCTCTCTAATTATCTTCTCAACACAAACTGTGATGCGAGTTAGAAAATGGCTGAGAGAGCAAACAAGCATAAAAACAAAGCTTTATTTCTTTGTGTTTTTTAAATAAAAGCTGCAGATAAATAACGCAGCTACACTCAGGTAGTGTCCTACTGCTGGATCTTGAAGGGTGGTGATGACCTACTTCAGTTCAAAGTCAGTATATCTTTGTTGGGGTTGACAGGGAATGATGGGGCAAAATGCAGCGTAGACAGATTGTGCCAAGCTCAAAGTAATCCTCACAAAATAGCCTGTAATAGCCAATGAAGTTATGTAATTATTATTCAGCTTTTTGTTGCCAGATCATATTGTTTCATCGCCGCCTCAGTAGTAAATGTTTCATGGCTCAGTAATAGTCCACACCTGGGGACTGGGATCATCCGCTGTACGGGATAAGCAGGTGTAGAAAATGAATGGATAGACGGACTGATGCAGTGTGACTTTTACGCATGTTGACGACAGCTTAATGTGGGGAAGCAAGATAGTAGAGCACATTGAATCACACTGGTGTTATGTCATCAACACTGCAGCTTTTTGGCACTCTTTACAGCTCAGATAGCACTTCTGCTTTATGGAGAATCGGCGTGATTTGAGCTCAGAATCTGGGTGGTGCCAAATCCTGACCTGTTCAGTGCTCAGCGTCTTCGTGTTTTTGTGACGTCGTCTGATCACGCAGACTATCAGGGCCAGTGTCCCTTCAGTTTGCAGTGCACCCCATTACCCTTTCACTTGGCCTTCATTTTCTCTCCCCGCTCTCTGTTATGGACACCCCTCCCTCTGCTTGCTCACACTCTTCTCTCACTCTTTCTCGCTCTTTGTGCTGTGTAACCACCAGCTCCGTGTTTGACAGCAGACTCAAACAAATCCACAGGCTCCGGCCAAGCTCTCTGTTGCCAGAGGGACTTGAGTGTTTCCGCCCCTTTCCAATACCTCCTACCCCTCCGACACACTGTGATCTGCAGCCAAACCCCCCCTGCACACACACACACATACACACCAAACCCTTCAGCCTGTAGCTGCCATACACTCCCTCGCTATAGAAACGCTCCAGTGGAGCTCAGTTGCTGAAAGCACTCTCAGACCTCAGGCCTGGGAGTTTTGGACCCAGAATCCGACTCGCTTTTTTAAAATCTCAAGACTCTAAAAGAGAAACAAGAGCTGACAGGTTCACCAGGTGGATGCATTTCTGTTCCTGAACGGTGGCCAAAAGAGGAGCTCTGTGTCTGCAGAGGAGGTGGAGGTGGAGGTGGAGGGGTTGGTTATTTATAACGTCCTGCCCCTGTGTGATTTTTGGGAATGCCAAGGCTCATTAGAGGTTTCCTCTGGAGGGTCAGGGTCAGGAGGGCCAGATGTTGGTGATTGGAGCAGCGAGGGCAAACAGCGGTGTCGAGTGTCAGAACCAAACAGATGTCAAGCTCAAATGTGAGCCGGGACAGACCACAGTAACAGTGGTAGGTGGGTTGTTGTGGGTGTACGAGGTGATATCGGTTTCAGCGTTAATCAGGGCGACATGTTATGGGTCATTGTTTGAAGCTGTGAGGTCTGGGAGGCTGCCACAAGTAAAGGAATTAATTTACACGAGGGTGCTGGGATCCAATATTCAGAGTGACAACAAAACTGTTGTGTTGATCTGATTTTACACCATGCTGCCCTCTGTTGGTCAGTCTGATACAGTAACAGAAGAGGAGAACTGGAGGTGTTACTCGACATTAGAAAGAGTAAATGCTGTTTTCAGATCATAAAAAAACAACCTCCAGATAATGTATGTTTCACTGACTGCCATAGAATACAGTCACTTTATATGTACTGTATATTTGTGGCAACAAGCATGCACATCCTGCAACAGTGACAAATGGTGCTAAATGGCCCTCAGTGGAGCAATCGAGCAGGCCCATTACACCGGCACGGATGCTGATACATTAGCGTTAATGTGAATAAAAGAGAAAAAGGAGGTGAAAGGCCCACAGCAGCCTTTAACTGTCCTCCATAGCTCACCTTTCATTACTCCCAGTTATAACAAGCTTCTCAACTCACAGAGTACACAGCAGGTTCACTGTCTTTAAGGGTTTAAAACTCATTTCCTGGAGTCACAAATTATGCCATCAATATTTTTACTTTATCTACATATACTACTAAAAGTAATTCAATCATATTTCATTATTCAGTTTTTATAAGTGGCTCTGAGAAAGCACATTAGCAAATTAATTAAAATGGCAGCATCATTTCATTTCACTTGTTTCATAATTATTTATTATGAAGTGTTTATCAGCATTCAGCACCACTGACTACGTTCACATGCACAAAATGTGTCGTTTCTTGCCCTTATTTCCAAAAAGGAAATATTCACTCATTGATAGAGTGTCCCCATACAAGTCCTTGGGTATATGGATAGATGACAAGCTTTCATTTAATGCACACATTGCTACTGTAGTTGGGAAGCTTAAAGTGAAGATTGAGTAAGTCTTGTTTTACTTTCAGAGCTAAGAAAAGCTTGTGGAAGCTATTTTTCTGTCTGTAAATGATTACGGTGACATACTGTATATGCATGCAACATCCTCCATTTTGATTCAGTGTACCATGCATCTTTTATTCATCACTATATTCTTTATGATTTGGTGGGCTGGATGTCACTGACCACTCTCAGACAACAGCACTGATATATTTTTATCTATAAAGCAATATTGGACAAACGTCCTGCCTACCTCTGCTCCCTTCTGTGTCAGCTCTGGTAGTTAGCAGCTGCGCTCCTCCAGGTGGTTGCTTTTCAATGAACCCTGGGTTTTAACAGATCTCCAACAACAATCTCCAACAAGATCTAAAATTAGTAGCAATTATATCCATTGATGAATTTAAGGACATCATAAAAAATGAGGCCACTATGTTTGAATAGTTGTTTTGTATTATATGTTGTATTTGTTTCATTTTAAACGCGTTCTGATTGGCTGCTACCTCAGCCAGGTAAAAGAGATTTTCAATCTCAGTGGGACTTCCTGGTTAAATAAAGGTTATAATAAAATAAAATAGAAAAATTTCCATTTACATCCAGCTGTGTGTACTCTGATTAACTTGCCTCAACGTGTCGTTTATCACGTCAAAATATGGGAAAATGGAGCGACTGTAGCCGGGATTTATTTCAAAGATCCACCAGTGACGGACTTGTTCGACTGTACTAACACATCCTCCCTCTTTCATTCCTTCACCCTAATTATTGAAAAGGTTGCCGTGACAATATTTGGCTTATTTGTTTGTGTACAACATCTCTATGATGATGCAAGAGCTGACCGTAAACAGGCGAGAGGCTGTGTGTCCTAGTTGCAGTAAAAACCCAAATTGAGATACATATTCTGAATGCACTGAATGCATGTCCAAAGAATGCTCCTAAAACCCGAATACCGGCATATCCGTCATGTCTTAATCAGAAAATGCTACGTTCAGAAAAAGGCTTACTTTGGAATATCCATATGGAATATGCTGTTTACATGTCCTGCATTAAATTTGGAATATTGTCACAGTAAGTTCTTGCATTTCTAAACTGCAGCATTGTTGTGTCTGCAGGTAACATTTCGTACGAGGATCTATCACTGCAACATCAACAGTCAGGGGGTGATCTGTCTGGATATCCTGAAGGACAACTGGAGCCCTGCCCTCACCATCTCCAAGGTGCTGCTGTCCATCTGCTCCCTGCTCACAGACTGTAACCCAGGTAAGATCAACATCTCACTGCGTTTGACATTCTTATAATGCTTTTTATTATGAGACTTTTGTGTAATGTAACTGAGAGTTCTTGCTCTGTGTAATGTTTATTTTTACTTGAGGCCAAATTTCAAGTTGACACACTGTCAGAAATAATGTTTCCAGGTTATTAACGATGTATTAAGCTGGCCATGACGAATTCAAACCCTCATTGTTTCCCAAGGCCGTCTGACACTGACAGGTCTTTGGCACAGTCCAGCCTCCAGTTGTAAATAATAAAACCACATTTTCACGGCAGAGAGGAGCCAGAGAGCTGCGTAAGAGGAGAGCCACAATGAAGAATGAATGAAAAACTAATATTATAATATAAAATAACATACTTATTATTTGTGGTTAACTTTTTTGGCTTGAGAACAAAATGTTGTGCATGAGTGCAGACTGAAAAAGGAGTATAAAAGGCAAAAATTGGGTCAGTGGTCCACCTGTTAAAGCTGTAACATGGCCATTTTGTGCTTTCTGACATGCAGACATTTTTTAGACCACTGTGACATATGTGAGCACAATAGAAGTTCAGCGAATTACCCTGCAAGATGATGGTTTTATAGTCATGTTACCAAGTTCACACAACTCTCTCTACAGGCTTTGCTGCTCCTAAAGGGGCTGTCTTTGCCTTTAATATGATTAACTGGTTATTGATACAGCTGAATTTGATACAGTGTAATCAAGTCTACTTGAAGGTCACCACACCATAATGAAATTAATGCTGCATCGGCCCCTCAGGCAAAACTCTTTATAGTTTGGAACCAGCACGAATCTGGTAGATGGTTTAATGATCTGGAATGAAATCGAATTGCTTTTATATCAATCACAGTTACTGTAGGGAGGAAAATGTAATAAATCACTTCAGTTTTGACAAAAGTTGTTTTTATATTCTAGTAGCACATTTACTCTTTTAAAATGATTGAAGAAATCGTTTTGTCAGAGAAAACTTTTCTTAGGTTCAGTGGAAGAAAATAATCTTTACTTAGCTTCAGAAGAAAACAAATTGTAAAAGGTGATAATTCCAAGTCTGCATGGAGAACAAAAACACTGCAGTCAGTCTAAAATGGAGGTGGTTTTATACACAAATAGTCCCAGTGCCCAAACGACCAAATGCAAACTGAGTGTGGGGGCTCCCAGGATGATAAATCTACTTCTCAGTGGCATTGAGCCGCTATTGAAACTACAGCAGATCAAACAGGGAGAAATTCTGGATCAGGTTAAGTTCCTCTGTAAAGCTGTTTCCTCCTAAAAAAAAAAAAAAACAACTTTCCCACATGTAGCACACCACAGGAGATTGTCTGTGTTAGATGTGTTCATGCCAACTGGAAATACTCTGTTTGGTTCAAAGCAAAGAGTTGGCGCCTGGGTAGAGCGGGCAAAGGAGTCAGGACATGATGCAAAAAAGTATGCCGCAGAAATTGCAGTGTTTTGTTCAACCAGTTCATAATTTGGTCAGAAAACAGAGTCTCTGGTCTGACAATTTTGGCTTCGGCTCTTACTGGTAGAAGGTCCCAATTCAAGCTGTCTCTCCAGTTAGACATTTTCGTCTGCGTCGTTGTGGGAATGACCCTTCTTCTTCACCCTCAGATGTTTGTTTGCTTCCACTTTTGTGTGAACTGCTTGACAGAAGCATCATTAACATGCCCAGTCGCTCGCTGTGAATTCTCCAGACAGAGAGCCTTTGCACATTGGCTCAGTCGGACATTTTACGAACTTTGTACTAGGGAGCTGGCAGGCTAAAGTCCGTTCAGTGTCCGAATCCACTTATTCAGACATTTGCGTTCTCACATACAGCTCCTCTTGGAAGATGTCAAGATAATTTGACGGTTACAGTGCATGTGTGAAAGAGGCTATAGTTAAGGTGTGGCTTCCTCCTTCTCTGAACTCTCCTCACTTTAGCCCTTTTAACACAGAGATAGCATGAAAGGACCAGTACGAAGTCCCTTCTCTGCACCTCCTTCGCATTTTTACACAGAAGGAAACAAAGCTGCATCGTATCGCAAAAGAGATGTGACGTTTACCACACCAGCGTTGGCCTCTAGTGTGACATTTAACATGCATGTCGGCAGCACTTTTTAAACCATAACAACGGCATAACATGGTAATTACAATCATTTATCGTCTCTGTTTTATGGCAGCTGATGTTATCGTCTGCTCGGAGGGTATGAGCTCCCAGACCTCATTGTTTTCCCAATTTTCAGACATTTTCGGCAACTTTTCATCTTTGAGTTAGCTGCTAACTGCTTTTTAAATCTCCTGGGGATTGGGAAGCACGCATGACACGTCATCAAAATGTCACACCTGTCCCGTCCATGGTCCCTTCCTGCTGGCTGTCCCTTTGACACAGACACTGAGGTCCTGTTTATACGACAATGATTTCAACTGAAAGCGGTGAACTTTTCGCACACGGGCATTACGCTTCCATTCACTAGGCATGCGCGAGAAAGTCGACCATCACAACAACAACGGCGGACTCCTGAGCTCTGTTTGTGCTGCTGACCCTGTTGAATTTATCAACGCTTACCCATCATAGTGTAGATTTACTGTAGCAACTCCACCTCGTCGTCCGTCCAGACAAACGTTCATGCGGTTGCCATTTTGTTTGTTTATATATCACCACTCTATAGAAGGAAGCATAAGCGTCACACCGCCAACTACTGGCCTGGCATGTATACTGCAGCGATTTTGGTAATTTTTGCGGCTCCGTATGCACGACGATTGTTATCAAAACGTTGTCGTCTAAACGCGGAATTTTTTCCAAAACGAAAATAAGAAACAATTCCATTTTTAGTGGATTGTTTTCGTGCAAACATTCAGCACTGTTACAAACTCTGTTGCCGGCTTAAGGCCAGACAACTCTGTCCCCCCAGTCCACGATTGTACCTTTATACAGAACGACGAGATGGAATAACGACGTGATATTCCTGCCTTAAATGGGCAGTGTAAACGGGGCTAATGACACACTAGACAAGGGTCTGATAGTCACTGTAAATAATTCGTATCAACACAAAGGTTGCTGTTACACAGAAACAGGAATACACAAGAACAATCTCATAATATTAAACTACACTGTACATCTAAAGAAACTCTCCAAGGACAACAGTTAGGGGGTCACAAAAAAATTGCAGATTGCCTCTAATTTTATTTTCCAAGGATCTGATATGCACAAGGATAATTTGAGGGTGATGAGGAGTGTTTGTCATTTACAAATTATGCTGACAAAATAATTACATTTGTATATGTAACTAAAACCCTGCGTCTTGGCCTGTTCTGATAGATCCAATAGAAATTCAGTCTTGCACAAACGTTTACATAATCTGGGTCTGAAAGGATAAAAACATTTGGGAAACTTTCCTCTGTCTACAGTCGATAGATAGTTTGTGACTCAGCTCATCGCTCACACTTATTGATTTACATATTCTCTCTCTGCCTCTGTATGTTTCAGCCGACCCTCTGGTGGGAAGCATCGCCACACAGTACCTGACCAACAGAATAGAGCATGACAGAATAGCCAAGCAATGGACGAAGAGATACGCCACATAGACTCCCAGCCGCTCCCTCCTTTACCTCCCTCACCCCTCACTGTACCTCTCTACCTCTCTTTCTCTCACCCTTAGTCTGTCAAAGCACACTCACTAAGTGCAACGGTATACCTGCCCTCCTATCACCCTCCTCTTCTTCCTCCATCCCAACATTTTATCTACCTTTTCTGTGTTAAAAAAAAAAAATCAAACAAGACAAAAAAATGTCCTTTGTTCCTTGTTGACTTGAAAGCTTCTTTTTTATACAAAGAGTAGATTGGGATTTTTATTTTCCAATATCTGAATGTTGGAAGTATTGTATTGGAGAAAAAAAAACACAGAATATTATAAATATCATACGCATCATCCTCCAGCTATACAGTATGTATTCTCATTTTCTTAGTGGCACCTGGAACAAACATGCAGAATATGCTTTGACTTTGTTTTCCTTGTTTTTTTTTTGTATTTGTCATCAATATGTTATCTGCATGGAACAGGAAGGTTTACGTCAATAGATCCTTCATGCTTTTTAACTTCCTCTGATTTTGTTTGTACTGTATGTATTTTTTCAAAGGCTTTTGAGGCAGACCACAAAAGTATAGGTCTGCCTGTGAAAGAGGCAGGACTTGTATATTTACTGGCTACCCGCCACCTCTGCAATTGCAGAGTGGTTTGTTGTGCACTTGTATTACTGAAGCACCCAATAAAACACACTGTGGTTGGCTTGTGAGAAAACGCTCGGCTCTGTCTGGGATTTGTGTTTTACGGCTGCCTCAAATATTTACACCTCTTCACTGATCTTTCATTCACTCAGCCGCAGCTCGGGACAGCTTTTATGTCCCACACACCTGACTGTAACATTTTAAGGTCTGAAACATCAGCTTAAACACAATAAAGTTCTTATCAGATATCGGACTTTGTTAGGTGTGGCTCATTGTGGCTCCCGCTGCACCTTTCGGCTTTTATTACATCTATCAGGGAGGTGTGATGTTCATGTGTTAGTCCCTCGGTCTGCAGGATATCGCAGGAACTCATGAATGGAAATTCTTCCTTTGAGGTCGAGGAAGAAGTGACTGTGTTTGGCAATAATCCAGATCTGCAGTGTCTTTTGTAAACTGAGCTTGATCACAGCTCTGAGGGCATGTTTACAGGGAGCAGGAATGAACAGAGAGCTGTCTTGTAACTAATTTTATAGCTATTTGATGTAGTGTTTTAGACATTAACTAAATTGTTTTTTGTGTTTTTTTGTTTCAGCTCCTTGGGGATGGCAATGTTGATCTGTTGGGCCACTATTTAGTTCCAAAATATGAATTATTTCTATTGGATGGATTGATTCAAAGTTCAGCACAGTGTTCATCTCACAATTGATTGTATTAATTTTGGTGACTGCTTTCATTGCTATTTTTTGTCCAACTCTTTGGTCTATGATTAAATCAGTGTGACTGCAGGTCTTTCAAAAGTCCTAAATTCAATTTAATGAATATTACGTCTTAAAAGTCGTTAAATAGACTTAAATTTGAAGTTTTGAGGTCTTAATTGCTATAAACATTTGATATAATATCATAAACATAGTAGTCCCACACATCCAAAAATTATTTAACCACTTACGGCAGGTGCTGGGCCAATAAAAAATAGCAATAAACAATGTGAAAAAGAAAAGGTGGCATGTCGCCTCACAGCAAGAGGGTTGGGGGAGCCCTTCTGTTTGGAGTTTGCATGTTCTCCCTGTGTCAGCGTGGGTTTCCTCCGGGTACTCCCACTTGCTCCCACAGTCCAAAGACATGCTTGGTGACTCTAAATTGTCCGTAGGTGTGAATGTGAGTGTGAATGGTTGTCTGTCTCTATGTGTCAGCCCTGTGATAGTCTGGTGACCTGTCCAGGGTGAACCCTGCCTCTCGAAGAATAAAGTTAATAAAGTCAATGAAAGTTTAATATTTCCCTTTGAAATGTAAAACATGGCATAAAATGGAAATACTCCAGTACAAGTACCTCAAATTGAGCACTTGAGTGAATGTATCTTATCGTTGGTAAAATAAAAAGTAATCAAAACAGATGAAATGGACCTGCTTTTTAAAAAATAAAATAAAAAAAACGTTTGTTGTACAACTTGTTCACATTCAGATCACTGCACACAACATGTTTTGGCAGAATGGCATTCTGGCATTATTAATTAATCCTACGACAAAAGCTTTTAAGCAACACGCCAAGTTAGCTCTGTTATTACAGATTTGGTATTCACTGGTCTAAATAGCATGACAAAAAGAAAAACTACTTTAGCTATTAATGAATGTTCTGATTGGCCAGTTATGCATAAATAATAACACGGCCAGTCTGCAGGGCAGTAACCAGCAGCCTGTTTGCCAAACTGGCTCAAGTCTGCATGCCTGGATTAAAGGGTGCTGAAATAACAACACCACATATATATTTGCCAAAGGATTATAGTTCATGTGTTGCGGTTATAAAAATTTGTCTGATTTGTGTGCAATTTAGGATTTAAAAGGGTTAAAGATTGCTGTCAAAATATTGACACAGCGACGTTCACAAGTTGAGATTATTTTACTAACCTTTTAAACTCACACATCCACCAGCAGGTAACAGGACATAATGTTCCTCACGGCTCATTTAACAGCAGTGAGGCAACGTTTCAACCTCATGCATCTCTGAATATGTCCTTTGTTAGTAATGAATAATACCAGATGCAGTCCAGTTTAGGGCTGCAGCTAAGGATGATCTTCACTGTCAGTTAATATGTCGATTATTTCCTCGATTTTAAAAGATTAGCTGTCAGAAAATGGTGAAAAATGTTGATCAGTGGACAAATGTTTTGTCCGCAACCAATAGATATTCTGTTTAAAGTCACAGGGGAGTAAAGACACCAGAAAGTATTCATATTCAAGAAGCTGTATTCAGACTATTTTTTTGTTTTGTTAAAAATGTACTCAAACTGATTAATTGAATATCAAAGTTAGTGATTTATATAGTAGTTGACAGCAGCTCTTGCAGCTTTGGGTTGTGAAATGTTGGTTGCACATGATGGATGCATAAATTGCAAAGAATCAACGACCTTTAAAGGTTAAGTGTGTAAGATTTAGGGGGATTTAGTGGCTAGCCGTGAGGATTGCAGACTGCAACAAGCTTAAACTTCTACTGGTTATAGAACTCCTTCAGTGTTCATTGTTCAGGAGGTTTTTAGTTTCATGTTACAATTCAGTGTTTGTAAGTTGCCTGCTTCCACAACACCTGTTAATGTGTGCTCACCTTTTTTCTGACCCGCACGTTCAGGTGGTTTTTACCAGGAGCTTAATTATCAGCAGAGGTCTTTTCCACTCCAAAACACAGGACAAAGCAGTTTCACATTACAAAACTGTGTCTCTCTGACGCTGTTTGGCCTATCAGAGACAGGCGGCTCGCCCACCACATGCTAATGTGTGCTCATCTTTTTTTCCCCTGATAACTTCAGATCTAGACATTTGAGAAGTTTTAAGAAGGAGCTGATTTTTTGCAGAGGTCTCTTCTTCTCCAAAATAAATGGACCAGGTGATTGAATGCAGTAAAAACCAAGCGGCAACCTCCAGGGCTGAAATATGACATCAACACACAAGTGCCACAAACTGCAGTTCCTTGAATGGCCACTTGAGGCTGGCTCCAAAAGCCAGTCAATCCCCACAGACCTCCATGTTTAAATGTCCAGCTTTACAGCAGAAATAAACATATTTACAGCCTGGTACAGAAACAGTTTTGGTCTCTAAAGCTAATTTAAAGATTCATGACAACTGTATGGGGGGTGAATTTTGTTTGTTACGGCTTAAAAGCCTGCATAATTAAGGGTGGTCTGCTTTAAGTGACAGGCTGTCTGCCAATAGAGTCCTCGGCTTCTCAGTCACATCCACCCCTCGCTCCTCACAGTGCCAGACTCTCCTGCCCAAATATTGTCATGTCCTTCTCAAAATAACCACAGTGGCGACGGCTTAATCCTGAACTTGAGGCTTCCAAACGGGAGTCCACAAACCAATGGGTGACATCATGGTAGCCACGTCCATTATTTTTACAGTCTATGGCAAAAACACTGAATAAAGCAGTTTCCCGTTACAAATCAGTGTCTTCCAGACGCTGCTCGTTAGAGATGAGCGTCTGACTACGGTGGCCAACATGAAAACGCATATGGCCCTATTTAGAGCCAGTGTTTGGTGTGTCTGTTCTGAGCTACAGTAGAAACACGGCAGTGCACCATGACGTAGACGAGGACCCACTCCCTATATCCCTAAACCCAATACTTAGATTTAAAGGTGTAATCCTCTGCAGCTGATGGTGTTAATAGGGACGCCATATTGCATGCAAAAACCCAACTGTCACCGGTGAGCAGTGCATCCTGGGATAGGTTGAGCCACGAAGGATTAATCCGTTGCGTCCTCCAAATTCTGAGAAAGAAGGCCACATTTCTAGGTGCCTTCGAAATGGGACAGCCTTGGTCACGGCATTGGTCTCGCAGCTTTCGAAGGCTGATTATGTCACCTGTGGACTCTAGTGTTGTCTGCGTTGTGTTGAAGAAGAGGCCCAGACTGTAGATATCTTTGGAGGCGACCTCCTTTTATTCCTGACATTAAGCGGCAAAAACAAAATCCTACGTCAAACACAACCATACAAACTCGAGCCCCGACACAAATTAAGTGACACTGGATTATGTTAGTATAAAATTAACTCATACTTACTACAAAGTTAATGTCTCCTACCTCTCCTGTGGAGTACAACGGCAAAAGGGGAGAGGCAAGGCAGGTAGGTGGGGAACCCCCAAAAGTAGTATCAAACGCTGAGTATCAAACGCTCCACATATTGACTATGGGGGCCTAAGAGTGTCAGGTAATAACTGAAACAAATTTTGTGTGGTTATAATACTTAATATTATAAATGTGCATTTGACTTTGTGACACACACATTACTGCTGCACACAATTATACACTGAAGAAAACATTAAATTCTATCTCTGCCCATATATCCCCCTGATTCCTTCACACTGGACATGTAACACAGAAATACAAACAGTCCATATCATTCTCTATAAACTGTGAAACTGTTCTCGGGCTGCTGCATGCACTGAATATTGTCAACTCACTGACCCTGTAATAACACCTTGTTAGACATGACTAATTCTCAGATGCAGACGTGGTCAGTGTAAGTGTGTTTTGCAGTTTCTGTGGCCAGTGATGCAGCAGTGCAGTCACTGCTGAACTTCTATTAAATGAACCCCCCTGAATTAGTAAACAACACATCACACTTGCAGAAGTATGAAAGCATGACTGGCACTGCAGGACCAGAATTTAACTAACACGTCATAAAAAAGGGAGAGTTGTATGGCTATGCGTCAAATTTAGAGTCACTATATGTACAATATATTCATTCATTTACTGTGTTGTGGTTCATATTTAGAATTTAATAAATATTAATGTAACTCAAAGTTCACAACTTTGACCTCCTGTTGCAAGCACGTGCCAGATCATGATGTTGGATTCCACATATAAAATTAATCATATTAAATAAAGCTGGGTGAGTTAACCTGCGTGAAGCTCACATGATGTAGGCTGTCTTGTTCCCAGCGTAGGACCGAGCCGTACAGCCCACTGCAGCCGCGGTAGGCTACTTCCGTTCCGCAGAGGGCGACAGGCACCAGCCAGCCTAGACTGTGGCGGAGGTCCAGACACAATAGACTGGGTAAGTTTTATTAGCGAGCTAAATACGTGATTTAAGGCGGATGTTTTGCCGAGTGGGCAACGTATACGTGTGTGTCCATCGCCTCCGTGTGTTTCCAGGTGAAGTCGAAGGTCAGTTTGTCGGTACACACGCCGAAAAGAAACAAACAACACGGTCGTGGTTAGTTGGTTGCACGGAAAAGGGGCTCCGGCTATGTGCTGGAACGGAGTTGTTCCTGGCTGCTGTCTGAAGCGTTTAACGGTTCGTGGTCACATTTAGCTGTGAAACACACGTTTGTACGCTCTGGTTTGATACCCATAGCTGTAACGTTATGTTTAATAACCAAGACAACCGATGTGTGGTTTTATATCGCCGTTACCCGGTTCACTTGTAAAGGATGCTTAGCAAGCAGCTTTCCCACACGCCGCTCCAAGAAGTAGTCTGATACTAGAAGTCGTAGGGCCTGAGTGTTGGTTGCCAGTTGGAGTTGAGGGGGGAGGGGGGCGACTGTGTGCAGGTAGCTGTGTGTACGGGGGGGGGGCGGCCACCATGAGAAAGTAACTGTACATTTACATTAATTAGATTTTAATTAATATATAATTAGCAGTGTTAGGTTGAGTTCACGGGTGTGAAGTGGTTAACTTGAATGCGTGCGGGTGTGAACTGTGCACTTAGCTAGCTCGTCGTCGGCTAACACTTCGCTCACCGTCACGGAAAACGTTAGCTAACGTTAAACATGGGGAAAATTAAAGCGCAGCTAACAGCTTTGTTCACCGCCCCCTCCCTCTACCCGCACACACTAACACGCACTGTTTAACAGATAATTATGAGCACAGTTTCCTGGTAATATTTAAATAATCACTTTAAACACACATCAAATATTGACACTGTTTTTCTCCAGTTCCCAATATTCATCTTTCTTGAAACACACCAATGTCTGAGCCTGTTTATCACATGGATGTAGTAGTTTAAATGCCAGAGCACAAGGAAGTTTGTCAGTGTTTCTCTTCTACCACCTGCTGTGGCAGGTAACCAGAAGTTGCTTAGGAAAAACATGCAAATAAATGTGTATGAATAGTGACTTTCAAAGGTCCACTGTGGTAGATAGTGGTGAGGATTGTTGATTACAACCAGCTGAAACTTCTCCCAGTTAGAATTCCTTCACTGTGCATTGCGCAAAATATTATAACCATGAGCTGAATTTTTCGCAGAGGTCTCCTCCTGTCTGAAACAAACGAACCAGGTGATTAAAACAGGTAAAAAACTGAATAAAGCCGCTCCATGTTACAAAGCAGTGTTTCTTCTGTGCTGTCTGGCACGTCAGCCTGCATGCACAGCACCTGCAAATGTGTGCTGACCTTATTTCTGACCCTGATGTTCAGTAGGTTTTTACCAGGAGCTGAATTAACTGCAGAGGTCTTTTTGTCTTTTAAACAAACAGTCCAGTTGATTAAAACAAGAGAAAACAATGAATAAAGCAGTTTCTCACACACCTTTTGGCACATCAGAGATAGCCTTTTTCACCTTTTTTCTCCAATAACTTAATGTATAAAAATTTTTAAATTTCTGATCCAGACATTCAGGAGGTTTTTACCGGGTGCTGAATTGTTGGCAGAGGTCTCTTCCTCTCTGAAACAAACGGACCAGGTGATTAAAACAGGTAAAAAACTGATTAAAGCCGTGTTACAAATGAGTGTTTCTTCTATGCTGTTTGGCACGTCGCAGACAGCTCACTCGCACAGCACCTGCAAATGTGCGCTCATCTTTTTCAGGTGATGACCTAACATGTGCTCACCTTATTTCTGACGCTGATGTTTAGGAGCTGGATTAATCACAGAGGTCTCTTTCTCTCCTAAACAAACAGACCAGGTGATTAAAACGGGTTAAAACACTGAATAAAGCAGCGCCACGTTGTAAAACAGTGTTACTCCTGTTTGGCACATCAGAGATGGCCTGCTTGCCCAGTGTCTACTATGTGTTAAAACTGGTAAAAAAAAAAAACACAGAATAAAGCAGTTTCATGGTAAAGAAATCTGTATTTTTCCGACACGTGTTGCAGATGGACTTCTAACCACAGTGGCTAATTTGAAATTGCAAAACACAAATGGCCCTACGCCCAAGCCAGTGTTTCGTTTGTCTGTTTTGGGCTACCATAGGAACACGGAGATCTCCATAGATGAGGAATTGCCCCTCATGTAGATATAAACCTCTCATTCTAATGTAACAATAACACAGTAATACTTATTTTCAGGTAATTATACACCAAAGAAAACATGTTTATTACATTATCCTCCATTTTTCCAATATAGCCCCCTAAATCCCACACACTAGACCTTTAAATACACTTAATGTTGACAGTGTTTTTCTCCACTTCCTAATTAATCATCTTCAATAAACACATTTATTTCTGAGACTGTTAATCACAAGAATATGGCAGTTTGAATACCAGAGAACAAAGATGTCAGTATTTCCACTCGCCAGCTGCTGTGCCATATAACCAGCAGTTGCTTATGAAAACATGCAAATGAATGTTTATAAATAGTGAAAGTGGCTTGTGAATTATGAAACCTATCAGCTATTGTGGCCACGCGGAGAGCAAATTAACATCTGCCCTGGTTAGAATTTAGAAATCATTGTGAAACTGCTCCACCTTCTTGCAGCTGTGGCGTCACTTGTTATTTTGTTTTGTCTTTTTCTCTCCCAACAGGTTCCGGCTCTTCTCCAATCCTAACCGGTATGTCGGATGAGGATTCCCGTGCCAGCACCAGCTCTTCTTCATCGCCGCCTTCCTCCAGCCAAACCAGACAGAGGGACACGCTTTGCAAAAAGAAACGGGAGAGCAAAGCCAGCATGAGCAAGACCTCCAAGCTGCTATCCACCAGCGCCAAAAGGTAAAAATAAAACCCCAGATTGTGTAGTGACGAGGAGTTATATTCTCAAGACTTATCTCACAAGATTTATCTCACGATCAGTCACTTGTTTCTCTGAAAATTTTACAGCAGTCAGATTTCTCTCTGGTTGTAATTTGGGGTTTTACTTGGGAAGAAAGGCACACCGTGACACAAGTTTTCTAGAACTTCCATGTTGCGTCATTATGCTAGACATAAGGAGAATAAAAATCCACCACAGAAGAGGAACATGTGCTAATTCCTCCTCTGACAGTAGCGTCAACAGGCTGTATTGTACAGTCACAAGGTTTGCTGTGACAAAATACGAGTGAGCCGCTCAAAGCTTCCTTTTTCTCCTCTGGATAAAAAACCTCACTCTAATGGTTTTATTATAGCTTACTATCACAATCACTGTTGCCTCTCCGCTTACACAGGAAACCAATAGCATAAATTACTTCACCCACAAACAGATTAATAGACTAATTAAGGTTTGATTAAGGAATTCAAAAATGTAAATCGCATTTCATGATGATGCCCGACGATTAATTCTTTCATGGTTGAAGGACATCTTATGGCGTCTTTGTAATGATTATATTTTTGCTCCTCTGCGCTGACGACAGCTGTGGCTGCAGGCAGTATGTCTTCAGGGGGGTCCATCTCATTCCTGTGAAAGCAATATCTCAAAAACGCTTTGATGGAATTCCTCTTAAATTTGGCACAAACGTCCACTTGAATTTAAGAATGAACTGATTAGATTTTGGTGGTCGTAGGTCAAGGTCACAGTGACCTAACAGAACACGTTTTTGGCCATTGAAGTCATGCGCTGATTGTGAGAGAATTTCACACAAATGTTTAGTAGGATCAAACGATGAAGTGTCAAAGGTCAACCCTCTTCACCTCCTCTTCCCGGATAACAACCAGCACAGAGGGCCTCCTGTTTTTCTGGTGGTCCATCAAAAGCTCATTGGTTTGCTGATGTTGAGCTTCGGGTGATTGTCGTTGCAGCATGTGACGCAGCTCTTTATCAGTTCTCTGTATTTCTCTGTAAATAAAGTCGTAAATAAAGTCTGTGTTGCCAGTGACTGATCTTTGATTCCTTTTGTGTGCAGGATTCAGAAAGAGCTGGCTGATATTACACTGGACCCTCCGCCAAACTGCAGGTGGGTTTCATCCTTTGCTTTTTATTTCTCTGAAGTGATGTACTCATTAGGAATACACCAATCGCGGTGCTCGTCTCCCAATACAATCTTAGTGATACCTTAACTCAGACACTCATCTGAATCCCACTCTTCTATTCTTACCAATTGGGATCACTTTTTAGTGTGTAAAGCCCAGCTCAGAGGGGGCAGAAGCTCATACAGCTAGCAGCAAGCGAACACACAGTCTGCGGTCATTTTGACTTGACTAGTGGACTTCACTACAAGCCGATTGGCTGTTGAAACGTGTGACGTGCTTTTCGTTCTAAAACCAGCTGCAGGTGTACTGACCAGCTGAAATGTAGGTGACACCATCAGCCGACTCGAGTCGAGTTCAGACGGCCCGGTCACACTGCTGCAACTTTTCTCTGCAACGTTCTAAAACAGTTTTGTCTGTTTGCGAATCTTTGGTCTGAACTGGGCTTAAGGCAGCATGAGGTTGTAACTGCACATTATATTTCAACCGTGTGTTAACACAAAATTATTTGTTGGTCTTGACAATTTAATGTTGACGTTGATAAAGAAAAAGCAGTGAATGTGGATCCAATGCTGATCTGGTCAGTGAGGGCAGAATCAAGGTGGATACTGAGCCATTATACCAGGCTATGCATCACTTGTAATCATAAATTTGAGTGTTTTCTTTCAGTTCATTCAGAAATAAATGGGCAGTAGAAGCCAAACTTATAAAATTCTGAGGCTTATTGAACTAACTACACATTATTCTCTTTCATAAGTGGAGATGCTTTTACCAAATCTATTTTGAGGCCTGTGCACATTTTAATTATGCTGTCCGGAAACCATAATAAGTACAAATTGGTTACATAACTCAGTTTGCATCACTACGACTAATGTACTGTCAGGTGTGTTAATGAAACTGCAATATTTTGTTTTGGTCCGTTCAGAACTGATAAATAATTGAGCACCATTAAATGCACAGTTAAAGCTACAAAACCTTTTCAGATATAGTTGAATAACCTAAATAAGAAATTGCGCAGGAAACCTGAAGTAGAGATTTAAAAGAAAACATTAATTTATAGCCTATTTAATAAATCAATTAGTTGACTGACAGAAAATTAACCAGCAACTGTTCTGATAATCATATTATCATTGTCGTCATATCTCAAGAAAGCATTTGCAAGTTTTAACCTCTCATAATAATCAAAATAATGTCAGTCAGGGTATGTGAAAATATTGTGGTGGGTATTTTCCACTTTTTTCCGACTCTTTAAAAACAACATAATTTAATTGAAAATGAAAAAAGCGGTTGTGACCCTGAGTTGATAATGTTATTCAGCATGAGGACTTGGGTATGACTGACCCGTCTGCAACTGAGTTTGCTTCTGTGTTGTGATTTGAAAGTTCATCCTCAAAACCAGACGGTCTGGGTTCGAGCTCCCATCGCAGCAGGCGTCCTCCCTCCTGCGGTGTCCCGAGGCGATTCACTGAAGCCCTCCCTGCTGCAGGCTGCTGTTCTGCAGCAGAGCGTGACCTCTGACCTCCCTGTGAAAGGAGAAAAGAAAAACAGAGGAATCTCTCCCATCATGGCTCAGTAGATCAAACAAGCCACCTCAGGCCACAGACCGTCCCAAACATGAACACAGTCTGGGTATTTGTTGCTAACTGGAAGAAAACAGTTTGGTATTCACAGTCACAGTCCTAAAAAAAGTCTGTTTCTATTTTAAATTTTTGTTGTTACTGCTGCCACTTTTCCTCAGACTTTTTCTCATGTATAAAACAACAGCTTCTCAGGCTGGGTGGGAAAAATAGCTGCTCTCTTCTCTCTACCTGCCACCTTACAGGCAACCAGCCTTCATTTGAAAGTCAGCCTGTCTATAAAACCAAGCTGTTTGCTGCAGGGAGGCACATGGCATGTGCAAATGTTTTACTTTACCACACAGCACAAAAATTTGAACGTGTGTTTGAAGTAATAGAAAATTGCAGCAATTTAAGAGAAGACTTATTTTTATTTTACAGTGGTTATTTATATCCTGTTTTGATTTAACATTTTTAGTTTCTAGCTTAGCTTCTAGCTTTTTATTATTTCTAAACGTCACATGATAACTGGACCTGCACTCACAAAATTTGTGTCCAGTTCTTGGGAGACAGGAAACGGAGAGTGCTCAGAGTTGTCTTGCTTTGGTCTGAATCAGGGACTAATTTTGTTGACACAGTTGTATAATTGCCTAGAGTTGGTTTGTGTTCTCACGGCAGCATTTACAAGTGGACCAGATCAAATGTCTTGTGTGAGAAAGCAGCTCTTGATTGGTCAGAATTTCCATGTGGGAAAAATCCACAAAGTAAAGCAAACGTTGAAGAAGAGTACACTTGCAAGATAAATGTGACACTTTCTAATGTCTCAATGGAGGGACAACTACGCAGGTTGATTTTAGCGCTGCTCATCGTGGACTATATTGCTGTCATTGTTCATTTTAGTCAAACCATACAGTTTGAAAACGAGGCGCGGCTCCAACTAGAAAACAATGTTTTGATGCATTGGATGTGCTGAATGTGCATATTAAGGCAGTACAGGAGGAGGTGCACATTAATAATCCTCCAGGACTGTAACATGCTCATGTTTAACCCAAACAATGTGTCATGTGACTGCAGTTGGTTCAGATCCAGGTAGGAACACGTTCTCATCACAAACGAACCGCACCAGAGTTCATTTGTAACCAGAACAGGTCCGGTTGTTTTGGTGCACACCTGAGTGTGATTGCTGTGTTCACACCTGCCCAAACGACCACACTTAGGGGGCAAACGAACTTGAGTTTAGTTGAACTGAACCAAACAGGGCAGGAGTGAAAGCACCCAGAAACATTAGAAAGTAAAATGTATCACAGTGCTTGGTAAGCCTCGTTAAAAGATAAATGTCCTTCTTGAATCCTGAGAATATTCAGTGAATCTGGATTTTGATATTCTGGAGGTGATTTGTGTCTGTGACTATCATATCTTCAGCCTTGGTTAAATTAATGTCTTAATACTGGCTTGAGGACGGATGGCTGCAGCTGACACTTCTGACACTGAAGGACAACAGCGTTTTCAGGTTTCAGCAACAGGCTTGTGACATTCAGGCAAATTCATAATGGACTACCTAATTATAACAATGAAGTGTGACAGCTTAAAACACAACCTGTCCCAGCACATGATGGATTAAAAGCCATAGTTAATTGAGTACTTTGTTTTACACAAGGTATTTTGTAATAAGTTAAATGTTCACAATGTGAAAATACAATTACTTGTTATTGAGGGAGAAGGTAGCACATAAAAATGAACTCATAAGTTCTACATTTCTTTCTGGTTTTGCCACGTGTTATAACTTTATTGTACAAATTATTAGTTAACAGGGATAATAGCTGAGAGCCTCAGCAACAGTGTTGGTACTGCTAAATATGGTGGTGAAGTAGATTTTTGGTTGATCTGTTACGGCTGCAAATAACACCCTGCTCACCTCTACCTGTGCGTGACGGCTACCTCGCTGAACTTACGCAGCACCTACGTGGGTGGTGTTCACACAGACAGGGGTGTTGCTGCTGTGCTGCTGTTCAGTTTGAAAATGGTGAGAACTTACCATCATAACTTTCCAGAACCCAAAGTGACATCATCACATTTCTTGTTTTGTCCGACCAACAGTCCAAAAGTTATTCAGTTTCCAATAATATAAAACAGAGAAAGGCAGCAAATTCTCCCATATAAGAAGCTGCAGTCTGAAAATATTTGGTACTTTTGCAGATTCATTTTTTTTCTTAACGATTAAACAACATCATTTCAGCTCAGTATTAAATTAATCCATCTCATGAAATGAAAACACTTCCTCTGAGTTGCTCTCTCTTTGAGGGAGTTTTTATCTGAAGTTGTATTGTAATGAGCTCTGCTGCTGCCACTCCGGAAAACTCTTGAAGTTCAAGCTGTTTGACTGTTTCAAGTCTCCATCTTGAATACATTTCATACTGCAGACATGACTGCTGCCCAGCTGTGTTGAAACTGTGCACTGCACCGCTTTGATTCATGGGAAAGGACTTCTTTGCACCAGTTTCCATAACTGTATCTGATGAGGCTCAACCAGCATATCAACTTATATGATATCAAAATTAATGGATCCTCTGTCAGTGTCTGACATCCCTTAATGGCTTATCATGAATTCAGATAAGAGCAAAATGGTGTTTTGAGGCAAAGCAAGAGTGTGTGTGTTTGAAGGAATGTGTTCATATCATTACGATCAACTGCTCGGAAGTCTTTCATGTGGTGGAAGTTTTCATCCGTAATATCTTTTAACACCCAGTTAATTAGCCCAAACTGCGCTCTCTGGATCGATTTTCTGTGTCGTAGCTGGCACTGAAACTCTGCCAAACGTTCGTGTTAACGTTGATCAAAAAAGCACAGTGGAGCGCAATATCTGCCCCGACCCCCCCCCACACCCACCCCAACAGATTTGGATCAATACTATTATGTCTTGTACTCATGACCCCAGGGGGTTCACGACCACATGTTCTGCATGTAAGAGGGATAAAGGCTGAGCTGCTTTGAGGAAAAATCAATACAGATTACAGATCATGATGCATAGACACATCACAGGGGATTTGCTTTGAACTGAGGCATCTTCTGAATGATGCACAGGGGAAATGAAACTTTCATCACAGCACATTTAAAAGGAAAATTAAATTTTTATGGACATTAATCTGTGAAAGTCACTTTGCAGGAATGTATTAGTACAATTTCTGTCCAAATTGTGATTATTAATTAAGGTCACAGGAAATGTGACATGTTACATTTGCACACGTACTTGCTTTCATCCATCAAAGGCGGTGCAAGTGCAAGATTTCCCATGATACTTTTCCCTTGATCCTTCGAGCTTCAGAATAAATGGAAATCTCTCACACAGCATCTCCTCCTGCAGAATGAATTTAGTCACATTTGGTGGAATTTCCCTTTAATGCCACACATTAAGCAGATACTGAATGAAAAGTGGCATTAGTAGTCAGTTCAGTTTAACTCCTTTACTGATGAAAGAAAATACAACGCCCACATATTTCAGAATGCTGCCAGTGAGCTGTAGCTGTGCAGTGATTCATCAGGTTAAACACACACTACATGAATGAGTATGTGACTTTCACACTGCGTCGATGACTCCACTGATGCAGGTTCAGTCGCATGTGTCTGAAGCAACAGAGGCATGTAATCTTCATTGATAAATCAGTGTGTGGCTGTCGTTCTTTCCCCTGACTTTATTTATTAAGCTGCATTTGCTGTGAGATTTACTTTGTAATGGTGTGTTTGTTTCTCCCTGGTGGTGTTTTTCTTCCTCCGCATTACTGATGAGACACTGTGAGGTAGACTGATAATACTGTTGTACAACAAAGATAAGAATACACATTAATTATTTAGTGTTTCAAACATTAATCGCAGCGCACAGTGGCAGATTAATCCAAGCAAACAAGTGCTGAAATGCATTAAATTTATATTTACATCTACGGTGATGTGAAGGTTTTGGATTCTCCTGGGTGGATGTTTTACACGTAGTGCTCAGAGCGATTGTGCAGCTGTAAATGAATGTTAATTTTTGTTTTTGCAGTGCTGGCCCAAAAGGAGACAACATCTATGAGTGGAGGTCGACCATCCTGGGACCACCGGGCTCCGTGTACGAGGGAGGCGTCTTCTTCCTGGACATCGCCTTCACACCCGACTACCCCTTCAAACCCCCCAAGGTACTGATGTTAGTACGACATGTAGTATATAAATAAACTATTGTATAAATCAGGAGCCGCTGACTGAGGTCACTCTGAGCAGCAAATGGCAGAGGGGGGAAAAATCACTCAGAGCTGTAGTCTCTCACGCCCAGGCCTAACAACACCGATGTTTCCGCACCACTGAAGTCGCCCCCTGTTTTGGAACTTAACTCCTCCACTGCAGAGCTGGTAGCAACTTTCAACCATGCTTGTTATTGCTTTGCGTACAATATGACGTCAAGAAGTAGTGCTATTATCACGACTTAAATCTTTATTTTCGTCATATCAAAAATTCTGCCAGCATTACTGTGAACGATAAGATCTGGCACACTACTAACACATCTGGCAGCACTCGTTCAGACTGTGATGGAAACTGAAAGTGTACTGATACTAGCCACAGCATCTCAACTTGGTTTTGAAACGGTAACAAGACAAAATGATAAAAAATCTGATCACTTAAATACACAAATCTTTACAGCTGCACTTCACATGTCGACACCAGGGATTACTCTTCAGAAGTAAATTAAACTATGTAACACAGAAACCCTTTAACCTAACAAAAGTAATTGCACAGAGCTGACTGATCATCTGACTCATTGTACTGTAGCTGTAGCTTACGATAGTTGGGATCTGACATGAGGGAGTTTCTGCTGCTGTCACAGATCTTTCTTCCTATTTTTCCGTCAAGTTTAGCTCCTTACTTAAAGTGAAACTTGAGTATTTTGCAATCCGGACCCTGTTTTCCCACATTTTGTGTCAAAGTGAGTGATGGAGACAAACGTTTCTGAAGTTGGTCCAGTATTGAAAGAGTTGTGCAGCCGCAGCCACAAAAACAAGCTGCTGTATAATGTGCACCAGCAATCTACATCCATTGAAAGTGTTTGATTTGCCACTGACAGGCTCAGATTGTTATTATACATGTAGCTCCTCTCACAACAACACAGTCACAGGGCAGTTCTCTCAAATGGGCGTTTATTCAGGCATTTCTGTCTCTCTGAAGCATCTCCTTCTTGTCACGCTGAGAAAACTGTTTTAAAGAATAAACATAACAGAGAATGGATCAATACGGTGTACAAAATATAACATGACAGAAGAGAAAACAAAATGGCGGTCAGCGCGGGCATGAGAAACAAAGTGAAATGAAATACCTCGTTGGCTGTTTGTCATGAAAAGTTTCCCAAAGCTCTTCAGGTTCTTTAAATGTGTCTCCGACCGTCTTCAGCTTCGGCTTCTGACATTAACGAAACAAAAATGGAGCCCAGCAAGACACTCTCAACACTGTGAACCAAAGCCTTAGTAGCCCTTGTAATCATGTACATGTAGGCCTGTGGCGATATGCGATAAGTCGGTTAATTGCACGGTAAATTAAAAGGGAGACGGTAACTTTTCCAGCCGCGATTAATTGCCGTATCTATGTGTGTTTGTTTTCCTCGTCTCTCCCCACCAAAGAGACTAGACGACAAGAGCATTCACTGCCGTGCATCGTCTGGCAGCCAGGTGAGTTGATTCATTAGTGTAATGAATGGAGGGAAAGCTCTTGTCATCGAGTGTCTTTGTCTCTGTGGGGGAGGCGGGGCTATGGGCTACACACACACACACACACACACAGTGTGATCCTCGTGAGGGGGAGACGAGGCGGAGAAGAAAACAGAGAATTGAGCGTAAGAGAAAGGCAGGGAAGTTGTTCCTAAACCAAATGCCACGGCCCCTGTGTGGGAGTGTTTTGGATTTAAACCAAATGACAGAGGGGAGCCCAGTAATTTGGACAAGCGGTGTGCCGGGTTTGTTCTAAAACCATCTCAAAAAAAGAGCAAATACGACCAACTTAACTGCACACCTGAGAGTGAGAGACTGACAGACTGTTTTTTTGTGTTTATTTATTTCAATATTTTATTTAAATTTTCTTTTTTGCATTCCTAAGTATTCTTGTTAAATAAATGTTTATTTCTCTTTTAAAGGGTGTACTTGCATCATTTTGCCTTTATTATCATTCTATAAGTTTAAAAAATGGTCTACAAACAGCAAAATTACAACAATAATAAAAATGGTCTTAAAAGCACAATATTAGGCGATATTATCGCTTATCGCAATAATTTCTGACGCAATTAATCGCCCAGCAAAATTTGTTATCATGAGAGGCCTATGTACATGTTACCCTTTATATTTATCAACTCAATCACATGAAATGTACATACATGTCTGACCCTGCAGAGGATTGAAACGTTTCTCTGAACATTTAGCTGAACTGCTCTGTTTGTTATCGTGTGCGACCAAGTCTCGCTCAAGGTGACTTGTTGCAGGAAGAAACAATGGAAACCTTAGTTGGAGAAATGAGTGCCAGGAAGAGTTTGTTGTGTTGGAGTACAGAAAGTGTGGCTTAGTGTTGTGTAAAAGATTTTCAATGTCATGGCAGAATAACTGGGGACTTTTCCACATTCTTCTCAATCAGCCAAGATTTCAGAACCACACATCTCCTTGAGTGAGACTGATACACACACTAACTAGGAAAAATGTTTCATTTCTCTGTAGGGTCTTTTCTACTGCCTTATCAAGCACGTAGAAGAACAGTCTGAGCCTGTCAGTGGTAAAAACAAGCACTTTCAGTGGACATAAAGTGACATTGCACAATTACCCGCAGGGATTACTCTGCAGCTTGTTTCAGCACTGGAGCATTTCCTCAATACTGGAGCAATTTAAATAGTTGTTTCCATTACTCAGACACACAAACATGGGAAAACAGGGTTCAGAAAAATTTCCCTTTAAAGACTAAGTCTGGTGTTTTTCTATGTTTTTGTCAACTCCAATGAAAAGATGAAAATCAGCTGTTATTTGTCTCAGTCTCCTTAAAACTTTTTGACTTCTCTCCCTGGTCTTTGGCACTTAGTGTTGGGCCCACTGGTTCCTAATGAAGACATACATGTTTGTTAAAAGGTGTAATGACTATATACTTGAATTTTTAACAAAAAAGGAGCTGTGCACTGCAGTTTTTAGCGACTGTTACTCAAACATGATTTAAATGTAGAGCATTTGTTGGGGACTATTTTAAACTAAAGATTTGGCCTAAAAGATAAACCGCAGTGTCTGTGTTCCTGGTAATGAAGAAACATATCACCCAGTGTGGCTCAGTGGTGTGTTTTCAAATGTTTATGGACACACATTGAGCTCTGTGGCACAGAGGAATAATTAAATACATAATAAATAAAGTGTTGGTTTTGGTCTCTTAATGTGTTTTGCTGGAAACAGGAGAATGTAGAACACCACCAGACTTAATGCAATTGAAATAATGCACAGAGTTGTGTGTAGTGAAATGTGGTCTCTGTCATTACTTGTACTTATCTCTTAGCTATAGATCGTGCTTTTGTCTGATGTGTTGGTGCAGAAACAAAGTGCTTACTGTGTTTTCACTGAGGCACAGCTTCTCCTGTAGCAACACAACAGCATCACACAAGCAGAGCCCATGACGGTCGCATTAACAATGTTGTCTGGAAAATCTTCTCTCTGCAGTTTATACACACATTTACAGTCTTGAGTCAGATCTTAACAATGTCATGTGTCCTAATCTTTGGAAAAACTTAAGTTTTATTCCACAGAAGTGCATTGTAGCATCTGTTCTCTCTTGACCACTTTAGTTTGTATTTGCTAATTGATGTCGTGATTTTATAATCATTTTTAAGAAGAGCTTTCTTATTTATTTATATATTTTCAAAGCTCATTGTTGCTCTGTGTGTATACTGTGACATCGATGTTCTGTGTTTTCCATGGATAGATGGATAGTGGTTCATTTGTTTGTCCCCACAGGATTATTTGGACCAATTAAGCCACATTGTGTAACAAATACGGTCATTATGATGGCGATGATAACGCCAGCCTCGATATAAAAACGCTGTTTTGTTTGTTTTTACTAAGGCTCATTTCCAGTGGGATGAAACAAATGATTTTATAAAACTGTCATATTAGCCTGAAAACAAATTTAAAAAACAACCTGTTATGGAGAGATTAACAGTAAAACAAAGCGAGGAACCATTACACAATATTTTTTGTATTGTCGTATGCGTTTCTGCTGTTTGTTTTGAGATAAAGCAAATTTTTAAATATGTTTCTCAGCTCTCAAACATTACACGTCCCTGACAGAATACAGATATGGTGTAAACATAGGCAGGAAACAGCCTTGTGAAGTTACAAAGTCAAAGGTGAGCCTAAGATTTAAAAATACCCGCACAAGCCGCGCTTGTCTGATAATCAAAGCTGCTGTGAAATGTCTTAAATAAATGCATCTGCAGCTTTTGATGCGACACGTACTGCAGATGAGCGCTGACATTCCCACGGCTCACATGTTCCAAAGTAATGTCGTGTAAATAAATCATGTGCTTTCACTACTTTTAATGAGAAGTTGCTTGTTCCGTTATATTTTTGTGAAAGCAGAAGTCAGAGCAGATTGTTTCCCACCATTTAGAAGTACCTCTTTTCAACCACCAGAGGGCCTCATGTACTGCAATGTTAAGTGAGCAGTGACTGCAGTTTTAACACTTTCTGTATGATTGAACTACTAATTGCATAGTAAAATTAATATTTAAAGCCTGCAAACATGCATATCCTCCTTCAACAAGTGTTTCACTGCTGGAGAGATGTTGTTTTCATAAACCAGGGCGGTCCATGCAGTGGAAAAATGCAAATACTTTTGAAACTGGTGCTACAAGACCAGAGCAAACACAGGAAAAGGGCTGTGGGATTTGCTTTTGCTCGAGGTTATGAAACATACGACAGGGATGTTCTAATTTACTTTGCACTGGGACCACTTTTGCAAAATGACAGGAAGCCATGGGCCAGCCAGTAAACAAACATTTGAGGACATAGGGGGCTTTGCCTGGACCTCTGTCAGGGAGTCTGGGGGATCCTCCGTTGGTTCTTTACACAGGCTCTTATTTGATGCTTGTTATGCACTCTCCTTATTTACACTCAAAGTACAACAACAACAAAATTCCCAGTGTGAATCAATCAGGCTGTAAGTTAAGTATCACGACCTGCAACTACCAGAATTGCACGTCCGAAAACAATATGACGACCACAAACAATAACAAACAATCATGTGTTACAGTTTAACACCAAAATAGTGCAGTCACAGAATCTTGGTTCATCAGGGTTCCTGCAGATCCTTAAAAAGTCTTAAAAAAAAAATACTAAATTTGATTTTGAAAATTTAAGGCCATAAAATGTCCTAAAAGTCTTATTTTTACTTGTGAGAAGTCTTAAATTTTGAGATGAAACTTAGACTAACGGAGACATGTGTGAATACCTCGTCAAATCTACCTGTTACTGTAAATAGTTACATGATTAGTTATATGATTTTATGATTTTATTACTCATAACGCGGTCACAAGTAACAACATCGAGGCAACTTAGAAGATATACTGAAAAACTTGGGACGATGAGAGTTATGAGATGTGAACAATGATGTTTACTGCCGTGTATTAATGCCGTTTGTTGGTGTTAAATGGTATTCATTTTTCTTTGTTGAGGTCTTAAAAAGATCTTAAAATGTCTTAAATTTGACTTTAAAAAGTCTGCAGGAACCCTGTTCATATTTCTTCAGCGCTGCTTAGTTTTACTGTTTCATCTGAGTTTATTCAGCCGCTGTTTTCATAATATGGGAAACAGTTTGGTGCCCGCTTTGAGCAACAGCCTTAGATCCAATGAAAATCCACTAGATGACATGTGTTGAGCTGGAGAACAGCAGGGTGATTTGGGCTCTTGCAAACTGGAAGGAAGCTCACCACAGTTTATTTACACACACTACCCACGGTGTTAGGATACAAAGCTGGTTGAAAATCAGCAAGGTATTCCTTTAACTGCTTAAGTGCTGCAACAGTGTTTTATCTTACACATCATGCCTGACTTTAATTGACTGTTTTAGTGTGTTTGCTGGTGTCATTTGTGGATAGATAATGATAGGAAATGTTTTCACCCTGATTATAAACTGGACTGTTTGTGTGTCTGCAGGTAACATTTCGTACGAGGATCTATCACTGCAACATCAACAGTCAGGGGGTGATCTGTCTGGACATCCTGAAGGACAACTGGAGCCCTGCCCTCACCATCTCCAAGGTGCTGCTGTCCATCTGCTCCCTGCTCACAGACTGTAACCCAGGTAAGCCTCAGAGCGCGGCGATGACGGCTTGGTAGTTAGAGCGTCATCACACGGACCGCCAGCTAAATAAAAAATGTTTAGAAACAACGGGATGAAGTTAGATTTGATGTGTTGAGCAGCTGAAATAAAAGTTTCACTCAGTTATGTTGAGTTTGTGTGCAGCAGGAGAGAGTGACAGCCATGTCCCAAAGGAAAGCATTTTTCAGTTTGTGTCTGGCTGGCTTTCTTCACATCTCGCAGATTTCCGCTCGACTTCTTGTATTGTGTCACATCAAGTCTGTGTCCAGAACAAGAGACAGGAAGGAGGAAAAACAAATCCTGCTGTTCAGGCTGAGGTGCATTTTCAGAACCTCTCTAGCTCATTAAATGCTACCCTAAACCGCCTTCTTGATTTTACAAAACAACAGGAATCTGAAACTAACATGTACAAACTGTCAGAACTGACACCTTGACAGGAAACACGGCGTCATCTGGACATCCTACTCTATTTTATAATGCTCTTTGCTCACTTTGCTGGTGAAAGCAGAGAGGGAGTTTTTGCATTTTACCCGTTACTTGGGGCCACAGACAGAAGTTAACTTTGTGCCACAGGCGACACAATTTATTTGTTCTGATGTCAGAGTGCTGCTTTATGTGGTGGAAATCAGTACTAACATTTCTAAAAACATTCTGCCCTATCACGATTAAATCTTAACTTATTTTTACTATGCATCTAAAATTATTTCTTGTTTATAAATAAAGAGAAATGGCAAATCATTACAAACAAATGTAATTCATCTAAGTGTCAGGAGACATATTTACAAGTCCCTGTAAAGTCTATTTTTGTCGTTTCAATTTGCAGACAAAATTTAACTTGAAACCTGTTTTTCCGTTCAGCTGACCCCCTGGTGGGAAGCATCGCCACCCAGTACACGACTAACAGAGCGGAACATGACCGAACAGCCAAACAGTGGACGAAGCGATACGCCACATAAACCCACAGAGGACGACAGTGGGAGAAGAAGGAGGAGGAGGAGGAGGAGGAGGGGTGGGGGGCTCTGGGTGGTTTGTGTTGGGGGGTTATTTCTATCTCAGATTTTTAGTACTTTATTGTCTGGTATATTTTTTGCTTCCTGATTAAGTTATCTCCACAAATATGGTAATAAAGGAACACAATGGAAAGGAAGTCTTGTCTGCCTCCTTTTTTTTCTGTACATTGTTAGAGTTGATTTCACATTGAAAGCTGCTGAGCTAATGACTAATAATCACACAGTGAGACCGAGAACACTTGGAGCACATGTTAGAAGTTGTTCTATGAAGATTTTAATGTTTTAATGTCATGTTGATGAGATTGAGGGAAACTTTGAGTACATTTGAGAATATATTCAATAATTTGGTGACAATTTATTTTAACCCTCCCCATTTAGCATTCATAAGCAGCATAAAAAATATTTAATAAATGGCTTATAACACACTATAATATAGTTGTGAGCAGATATAAGTGTTTATAAATGTACTTGTCAACAACTACTAGCGTATGATGATGATGATGGCAGTGTTGGCAGCTGGAATCTGGGGCGTCATTCATACAGAGTCTCGGCCAAATCAGGCAACAGGACGCGGCCCGGCTGATTTCATCCGGCATGCTGATCGTGGACCGAGGTTGGGCCAGGTGACTTCTTATAACGTCCCAGTGATGGCAGTGTCAGCAGTCGTAATCAGGCCAGCTAATTTGGCCCAACTCTGGCGCGTCATCCATGCTGAGTCGGGCAACCAGGCCTCGTCCGGCCAATGTCATCTGGCATGCCGAGTTCAGGCCGATTCTGGGCCAGGTCATTTTGGCTAACTGGGTACTTTTACAAACTTAAACTGTATAAAATTATGGATGTAGCCACAGTGACGTCACCCATTGGTTTGTGGAATTCCGTTTTAAAGCCTCAAGTCTGACATTTTGGCATTCTACATCTTGGATTTTTAGAGCCAGAAGTGACCGTATTGGTACAAGAGGATTGAGATCATGCTAGCTGCTAGCTTGGTTAGCATGCCGCATTTACAGCTTTGGTTAACTGTGATAATGCTAATGCTAAGCCACATTTTCCCTTGTGAAAAAATAGGCTAAAAACCATTAAAACAAAATGTACTTACTAGGAAAACCAAACATCTGACTCCTTAGAGGATCTTTTAGTACAACCAAACAATAAACAAGGCTTTTCAGCGATCAAAATGTCACAGTTAACTTTCATGAGGTTAAAATATACTGAAATATCAACAGCTACGTCGACTCTGTAAATCTGTGGTTATGCCGTGGTTATGTTACTTAACCAAAGTTGCCACTGTAGTAGCAACTTGTCAAAGGACGACACCAGCTTATCACTCAAAGTGGCAACGTTCCTATGCATAACTTTAAGTCTTAATAATGTTAACGGGTGAATTATTTAAAAATTCATACCTGTACGGTTGTCATGAATGTTGAAACTATCTACGGAGACCAGAACTGTTTTTGCACCAGGCTGTAAACATGTTTATTTCTGCTGTAAAGTTGGTCATTTTAACATGAGGGTCAGTGGGGATTGACTCATTTTTGGAGCCAGCCTCAAGTGGCCATTAGAGGAACTGCAGTTATTGGAATTTCCACAGTGGCTTCACTGTTCAGACACGGAAGTTGCTGCTGGGTGAAAACACAGTTGTAATATTATGTAATATGTCTCCGCAGCTAAAGTTATAAGTGTGACAAATACTGTACATCATACATGTCATAAGAAGATAAGAACAATTTTAAACTTTAGAGAAACGTCCTTATCTCCTTACAATTACATAATGTTATAAACCATTTATTACACGTTAATACAGCACCTATAGATTCTAAATATGAGTGTGAAACTACCAATAACATAAGACGAGTGATGAAATCTTTTCAGTTTGTTTTCTGGCTGCAGCTGCCACATCTCTCTGATGCTTGACTGGTTCAAGAACTTCCTCTTCATCATATAAACCTTAAAGTCAGAGCTAATGGCTTGCTGTCAAAATATCTGCCAAATAAATACAAATAGTGCCAGTTACAACAAAAAGACACAGCCTTTGCTTTTCTTTAGTCTCGCCACAAAACACAAATGGAGGAGGTGAACATTCATCAAAGCATCGTCGGTAATGCCAAAAAGTTGTGACAGTGTGGCAGATATTACTAACTTTTTATCCAGTATCAATATATATATTTTAATATGGCAAATGTAATATAATCACAGTCATTTCACTGTTCTTCTTGCACATGTAAAAGCTTTAATATCGGTTTTTAATAGCAGTTTATTAATTCAGACAACAGAATTTTGCCCACCATCATGAGCATCAACACAGCTGCAGTGAAAATCAATAACTAATGGTGTTAAATTATCTCCAAGCCTTCACAGTTTCCTCATTGATCCCAATTTCTGGTCAATACACGCTGTCGCCTTGGGAGACCGTCTGTCTTGCAGAGCAGGATTACTAATACAGCTACACAACTGCACTGGTAACCAGTTAACAACCAGCACCAGCTCATTACTTCAGTCTTTACTCCAGTTTTAAGCACACGACATGATAATCCTTTTGTGACCCTTCCACTCAGTGTTAGTGAACATGTTGGATTTGCTGCAGAGATACAAAGCCTGGAGGCATTTAATGTCAGTGTGACATTTTCCTCTAAAATGTGATGTCACCTTTTCCGACAGCATGCAGGGCAGCTGAGGCCATGAGAAGAGCTGTGGTTATCTCCATCTGTTGCCAAATAACTGCCCTTTCTTTCTCACTCAATATTTTAGCTTTGAAGCAGGTGGCAACATCATTTATAATAAGCTACTTTCATGTAAACTCAGCGCAGCTAAATCAAGATAAACTGCATTTAAGTCTTCAGAAGAGAGATACTTTCCTCAGTGTCACAGAGCACACAGACTGTTACAGGATTCAGTGCTCCTTTTTCTGAGTTTTTAAGGACATGGTTTCAGTGTATTGATAAAAGTAAGGAAAGCAATCGCGTGTAACATAAGCAGATACAATTTAAGAGAAACAAACTGAGGCCTGACATTTGGCTGAAGTCTCAGACCAGCTGAGGACAAACTGCACAGTGTAGGTAGGCATCATATAGGAAGCTCTCTGGTGTGAAAATGTAGCCAAGTCAGTGTAGAGTAGTGCAGTATTTATGCAGTGTAAGTTTGTTCCTAGCCTCAGAAATCCAAAGTTAAAGCAACGTATCTCAAAGAAGAGGTCTGGTGTTATTCTATGTTTTTGTTTTTGTCAACAGTCCCAGACAGTTTACGCCTCTGTGCCTTAAAGCTCTGTTATTGTCCAAAGCCCCTCAGCAACACATCAGTGATCCGCACCACTGCACCGGGTGATAGGTTCTTTCGTTACGAGAAACACAGGCACTGAAACTGATTTTAAGTCAATCCCACGCAAACTTGCTTTGACCTGCAGATACAGATACTCCTGCTTGAATAATGCCGGCTGATAATGTCAGTTCCCAGCTGTTTTAGGACTTGAAAGTGAAATGACTAGGCATCAGTCAGAGGTGACTGCTTGGCTAAACTGCTTTCAGACAATCAGCGTTTCCAGTCAGAGCAGCAGATAAATGGCTCTCAATTCCCAGCCATATCAGAGACTGCCTGAGTTTCAGTAATTTAAAATTGATAATTAAAACATAGCTCAGGACAAACCAATCATGTGATCACTGATCGAAACCTTTGCATGGAATCAGCTGTCTTCTGAGACGTATGTGTTGTTTATTTTGTTCGACATTTTATGCACGATGAACTGTTTTAATTTTGCAAACTGTTTTGCTTTAATTGTTGGTATTGCACCTTACTGTCTTTTCATATTTTCCTGCCAAGGGACCGCAGATGCAAATTAGCTTCATAGCTGATTCTGGCTAAACAGTTGTGTTGTGCATGGCCCCTGTTAAACATATTAATTAAAAGAACAAAACAAAAAACCTGAAAGAATTAATCCAAAAAAAATCTCAGTTTTACCAGGGGGAGGGTGGTATGACATTTTTTGGTCATAGGAATATTATCTTGTGTTTACCATCACATACGTTTTCTCATTTTCTTCCTATGTTCTGCCTCTCCTTTCACGTATGTCTGCTAGTTGACATTTTATTTGATAAGAGTGTGAATCTGTCATGTTTAAAAAACACCAAAAAAGTTTGGCAAGAACTGGGACATTTTTTCATTATGGGTTCTTGAAAGGTCATGGAAAAGTTTTGAAATTTAGTCCATGAAAATGTGTGGGAACCCTGAAAGTAAAAACTAGAGACCGTCTTGTAATGGGATTCCTCCGGCCGCATTGCAGCGATGGAAAAGAAATGTCAGCCAGGGGCATGAGGTTGGGGAGGAGATGGTCTCTCGTCTACCTCCTACCTCTGTACTTTCAGCGTCCTTGCTTGGACCACACCCATCTGTGAACTCTGCCTTTATTTAGGCTACTCAACTACATACCTGTGAAATTTTGTGACTGGATCTTGCTCTGTTGTGACACCATCATGTTGACAAAATGTGTCCACAGACAGACAGACATACAAACAACAGCTTCTATGGTGGTTCCTGCTACAGAAGGTGCCACCAGGACCAGATTTTGCCACGATGACGCACACACAAACACACACAGACTCACAAAGTGAAAACAATGCCAGCCGTCATGACATTGTTGCAGCTGATAATAACAGTTTGAAACTCCATCATGCTTTAAGATAAGACAAGGGAACTTTTTGCGCAACAGTTGCAGCACAAAGTTGACAGAGTGCAAATATAAAGACAGAGATAACAGTAAGGTGTTGTGTTTGTTTTTCTGCTGATATAATGTATTACTACACCACACCAGTATGTACTCCAGTAGTGGTGAGGAGTATCTAATACCCATTTTCCACCAAAATTAGTGCACGTACGCAGGTTTTATAAACACGGAAACCCCCACTAAAAATAGGCGACAGACTCATTTCCCATTGCCAATAGACTGGAGCCATGAACATGGCTTTGCAGCAGATGAGCAAGCCTTTCTGTTTGTTTGGGTTTTTTTAACTGGCGTGTCATATTCAGCATCAAATGTAGAAGGATTTTGAGTCTAGCCCTCACCAATACACCCTTCCTACCCTAGGGGAGGCACTAAGTGAGGCATATTAAATGCCGGCGCACGCAATTGGATAGCATGATGGCCAATCAGAGCAGAAAACAAGGTGATGTATTCATTGCACTAAGCTTCATTGGTTTGTCGACCAGTGGGGCTAACTGATATATTATGCTTTTGCATAACGGCAAAAACGTCCTTCCTGAAAATGAAGGCTTCTCAGGCAGACTTCTGTTCCTCTCTCAAGGAAAAAGATAAGTGTAGTTGGCTTAGCGTTTCTTCCAAAGCTAAATTGAATGGACGCGGTCCTTCAGCAGCTGCCATCTTGGCTGTTTACTTTTTGACTCCTACGGCGCAGCGCTGTCTTCATCATGTCACGCCTGTCCAGAGCCCGCCTCTGTCAGATAGACTGATTTGATTGCAAATTTGAATTTGCTAGGGGCGGGGCATCTGGATTTCCAGGTTAATTCAACATCACAGACAGGCTGGAAAAGAGGTTATTTAACAGTAGAGAGCAGCACTGAGGCCAGTGAAAATGTTTCGGTGGTTACTTCTTTTTATGTATCTTACCTATGCAGTCTCCCTTTCAAACTTGGTGCAGACCAACTTGGAACAATGTTTGAGTGCTGCTTGGGTGGAGACGGACGGTTTTTTTTATCTCCCCACTAAAGGGGCTAAAATTAGTGAAATCACCCAGGTGTTGTACACTGCTCAAAAAAAAATAAGGGAACACTTAAATCACACATCAAATCTTGATGAATGAATTACTGAAGTTGAAAATCTTTACTGATGCCTGTACACACTCCCGACAACATCTGGGTATCCTCCTGATGAGTCGGCGAATGGTGTCCTGGGGGATCTCCTCCCAGACCTGGACGTCAGTGAGCTAACTGGGATGGTAAAAGATTGTGATTGACATGTTATGCCATTGTTATTTAGAAAGCACGACTGACGCATATGTTAAATGTCACACTAGAGGCTGACGCTGTTGTCATGTCAGTCATGCCTCTTGATTGCAGGATGCAGTGTCTAATCACACACTGGAGCGGAATAATGCCGCCGTCATTTGGCTCTGTGTAAAAATGCAAAGGAGCCATGAAGAAGGGACTTCACAGTGGCCCTATAGCACGATCTCTGTAAAAAGGGCTAGTCATAAGGACACAGAACACATTCACTACGTTTACATAGCATTAAAGAAAATCAATTTATTGTGTTAGTCCAACTAAAACCAGACTTCAAAAATACATGTTAACACGTTACTCCGACTGAAATCGCACTAAATCGAATTTCTCAAAGTCGGAGTAACGCACCCAGATAATGTGTTTGGGAGTCAAATTCCCCCTGCATGTTTACAGTCAATCTGACCCAAACTGGCCTCGGCACTCTGCACATGCTCCAGTGTCTGCCCTGGGCTTTGATCTGGAAGTTGAATGGCATTAAATTCGTAACAGAAGAAGCCGGTAAAAACATGGCAAATCTACATCCAGAGCTGTGCATTTTGAGACAGACGCAACGTACAGAGCTGTGAAGTTGTCCACCATGGTACCAGTTTGCCGCTAGCTAACAGTAGCCAACTTGTTTGTTGATTGTTTGGTCTGTAATGTAACAGGTCAACCGGAAAAACGGTCAAATGCTAACAAGGTATAAGAGGGCGTATCGCCACCTATCGTGCAGAGTCGGACATCCTTCGTTCAATAAATCGATTCCCCTCCTGTGCTTGTAGACTGGGACAAGGATGGTAGATCTATTAAATGGCCTAGTTGAGCTATAATCGTAACCCGACTTAACTGTGCATGTATACATACTGACTGTGGGGGGGCCTGCTCTCTTTAGGGCCCCCCCACACACACTGGGCCCCAGTGCAACCACAGTGTCTGCACTGTCTATATTTACGCCTCCTGCCATGGACCTATTGCCTCATATTCCAACCATGCTGTTAAAGCATTAGTAATGTGATTCCAATACTATGATATACACACTCGCCAGCTACTTTATTAGGTACACCTGGTCACCTGCTCGCTAACACAAATAGCTAATTAGGGTAGTAGGGT